CGTCGGAGGGTAGGGGGCGCTGCAGCAGCCCCCTACCCTCCGACGTCCCCTGCTGCAGCGCCCCCTACCCCTCAGACGTCCCTTACTGCAGCGCCCCCTACCCTCCGACGTCCTCTGCTGCAGCGCCCCCTACCCTCCGACGTCCCCTGCTGCAGCGCCCCCTACCCTCCGACGTCCCCTGCTGCAGCGCCCCCTGTATACTCCCCCTCCAAACTTGAGGTAACATGCTTTGGGAGGGCGTCATGACAACGGACATGAGGTAATTGGACGAGGAAGCGTGAAGCGAGGCGGCAAGGCTAAGCCCTTTACGGCGGCGGTAACCACGGCAACCGTCGCCGGCGACGACGCGCGCATCCGCGAGCGCATAATCGCTCGCGAGCACAGGGGGCGCCACGGCTTCGCCGCTGATTAGCGGATGCGCCGGGGAGGGGATGTTGCGCCGTCGCCGTGGCAACGGATGCCGCCGACGTCTGCTTGACAACGAGAGTGCAAACAGAACTCACGAGAACGGTCGCACCGTGATCCTCAGCCTGCTCGCGGCGGCGGCCACCAGGGGGCGGTGAGTGTCGCGGCGGCACACAGTGTGTCGGGAAGGCGAAACAACAGGAAATATTTCATTATTAAGATTTAACGAGACGAAGAAGAATTAATTAGTCAAGAGATATTTGTCGGTAAACGATCGACTAGATCTATGCTAGATAGTGTCTATTTTATCTGTCGCTTAGGAGTGATGCTAGTACCGATGCAACGCTAGTAAGATGCGTGTCACTATCTACGTATCACTATCTACGTATCGCTATCTACGTATGGCTGTCTACGTATGGCTATCTACGTATGGCTGTCTACGTATGGCTGTCTACGTATCACTATCTACGTATCGCTATCTACGTATCGCTATCTACGTATCGCTATCTACGCATGGCTATCTACGTATGGCTGTCTACGCATGGCTATCTACGCATCGCTATCTACGTATCACTATCTACATATCACTAGCTACGTATGGCTATCTACGTATCACTATCTACGTATCGCTATCTACGTATCGCTATCTACGTATCGCTATCTACGTATGGCTGTCTACGTATGGCTATCTACGTATCGCTATCTACGTATGGCTATCTACGTATGGCTATCTACGTATCGCTATCTACGTATGGCTATCTACGTATGGCTGTCTACGCATGGCTATCTACGCATCGCTATCTACGTATCAC